ATAAAACTGTCCCAATAGAACAGGCATGTCAAACTGCTGGCCCACGGGCCGGATGCATCATACTGAAACTGCTCCCACCCCATTGCCGGCAACGGGGAAAAAGTTGCGATATGTCGCGCGATGTCACATGATGTCGCGAGTTTGACATGCCTGCAATAGAAAGAATATTTGTAGCTCAGGTTTGAACTGTGGAGTCCTAGATATTCTCTGAGCTTAGTTGCAGATATTTCATTACCTGACTAGTTGCTAGTAAAGGTGGGATTTGCTCCCTGTTTATATACAATAACTTGTCCTGCTCATGGTGTTCTTTTGTTTCTTTTGAAGGGTGTATGTAGGGAGCAATAAAGGAGAATATTTGTAGCTCAGGATTGAAATGGGGAGTCCTTGGTGTTCTCTGAATTTGGTTGCTTTGTTGCAGGCTTTTCATTAACCAAACTAGGTAACGTCATCAGTAGTGTAGATATGTGATTTTTCTCTACATGTCTGACGATGGCTGATTTGTCTAAATGCCAAGCCTCCAGGAATTATCTAGCATTTTTGGATTTTTCTTGATCTAGGATGCTCACAGTTTCCAAGTTGAAACTCTGTTGAATCTATCTATGAGACTAAGGAGTTTTCATCATGTCTTGTGACAGTTAGTTAATGTTCATGGATGTGCTCTGCTAGTCTTCTGCCTGTCTATTCTACATAGTAATTGTTCGTCTTTACACTGTATGTTATAGATGACACCTGGTTTTTTTTTTTTTTTTTTTTGCTAGATATCAAAAAACCAGGTTTTTTGGTTTTCTTAAAATGTTTTGGAAGACTTTAGTTGATTTTGTGCTACAGTGATTCTCTGTGTTATAATAGTCTGTTGGTTGTTTCTGATATGTTTTTGAAGTATGGTACTGTTAACTTTTTCATAGCTTGTGTTGGTTGTACTGTAGTGGTTGAATGGCTAGGCCCTTTTTCATAAAGTTGCATCCATGTCCATTTCATTGGAAGATGCATCTGTTTCTTTTTTCTGAATTGCTGCTATACATTTGTACTTGTATGAATAATGTTCTTACACACCTTTTCTTGTGGGAAGTCAGATTGTTAATGGTAATGGTGCATTTGATTAGTAGGGGTTGTTTTTGATACATTTCCTGAGACGATTCACGGCAGTTTACAACAAAAATTAAAATATTAATGATGCAGCATAAAAATAAAGATCTAAAACAAAAACTTCTATTACAGTAATATTGAAATATCTATGCTACAGTTAATTAAGCTACAACTAACTATGAGTTGTCACCATTGTAACAATTTCATAGCAGTAATACAATTCAATCTCCCGAATTCACCGCAAAAACATCAATGAGCCAACATCAATTACTACAGAATATTTTCATTTTTAAATATTGTTTGGTACATTTTCATAGTGTGGAAAAGTCTGATGTTCCCAGGAAGCCAGTCCATATTATCAAACCCAATAAATAGAAACATTGTCTTTTAACTCCAGTCCCCCCTCCTCTAATATCATGGATTACAGAAATGTTTACGCTCAATACTATCTTCTATAATTCTAATATTGCACTTGTGTGCATGAAGAAGGTGGAAGAAGATACAGAAAAGATCCAGTGATAAAGATCCAGACAATAAATCCAGTGATAAAGATCCAGACAATAAATCTGAATATTGTTGTTAATTGGACAGCAATTTGGTATCCTGGCTGGGTGACCTGCCTGCCTGCATTCCTATTTATATACTATCTATCAGATTTACCCTGAAGAGAATATAAAAAGAACAAACCTGAAACAAAGGTTCCCATGCAATTTAAGGACATGAAGGTCCTTAGTGCTCTCTGAGCTTGGTTGTTTTCTTGTAGACATTTCATTATCCAAACTAAATAACATTATCAGTGCTAGTAAGAAATGGGGTTTGCTCTCAATTTATATACTAATGGCTTGCCGTCAGTGTTGTTGGGAGTGGTCTCTAATCATTATTATATATGTAAAAAAAACAGTCAACAGATGAGGCCAAATGCTATCCTAATCTTCAAATACTCTGTTAACCATCTGTTATTGTATTTGACACATAGAAAGTCCACAAATAGCTTCCAAACTCTTATAAAGTTGCCTAATCCATTGTCTCTACTCAAAGCAGTTAGTTTTGCATCTCTGCTAATTCAGTCTATTTCAAAATCTACTCTTCAACTGTCGGCATCTCCTTTTCTTTTCAATGCTTAGCATATATAATTCTTGCATCGGTCACCATTTAAAGAAATAGCGTCCCAAACTTTTTCCATTGGTTTATCCATAATACATAAAAGAAAAGTTTCAGGTTTCATTAATATTTGTGTAACTATTTTCTGTATTATCATTATATTTATCCAGTGTGGTTTAACATACTTACAAGACCATATGATAACTTATACCTGGATTTTGATTACATTTCCAATATTTGTTGGAAATCCCTCTGTACATTTTTGCTAGCCTGTCTGGGGTTAAATACCAATGATACATCATTTTATAAAATTTTTCTTTCAAGCTGTAATTCAAAATAAATTTTAAACCATTGATCCATATATTTTCCCATTTATCTAGCATTGTCTTACAAAGTTTTTCGCTGATTTTACCATACAATCTTTGACATATTCTTCTTCCAGATTCATTGTTTATTTCTTGATTGTTGGCCTGATGTTAATTTTGGTATTAATCTATGCTCATCTGAGTGTTGATTGATGTTGGGGAGGTATTTTGATCTTTTGGTTCATTTTTGGTTTGTTGATAGTCTCTTTTATATAATATATAGATATTGTTTATATCTATGTGCGTATTGATGGCTATTTTGTCAAAGTGCCAGGCTTTCAGGAATTCCCTAGAATTAATTCATCTTAAATGTATAAGAGGTATATTTTAAAAAAGTATAACTTCCATTTAATTAACTCACTGTTAAATATTTTATACACACATATACACAGGAACATACTGACGCACTCATACACACCTGCACCCATATACGTTTATATATCCAGGTATGTCAAAGGGCTCCTTTGTACAATTATATTAATTTTTCATATGAACTAATTTACACTATTTTTCTCTTTTCCTATAAAATATATATTTAATTTGACAAGAAAACCTTGAATTGGAACTGGAATTGAACTGAAAATCCAGTTCAATATAAAAAAGTTTTTTGAATGACAAATTTCAGTTTGAATAAAAGAGGAAGTTCCAAGAGTATTACAGTGACAGAAATGGCTGGAGGATTGTTGTTTATTGATATCAACTAAGAGAAACCTTATTGAAATCAGTAAAATGTATAGTGTGGAATTAACTCCAGGACAGATATAGAACTTTTAAAAGTATATTTTAAGACATATGCGTTTAATCTCATTATAAAGTCCACATTTAATAATGTAGTAGTAGAGCTAAAATCTAGCCCTATTAAAATATAAAATAATAAACACTTTGAAATAATTTGAGTAAGGGTAAATATATAAATAATTATTGGCTTTTAATTTTCCACAGCTATGAATAATTACCTTCTACCTGAAATAAAAGTCAAGTTTCCTGTTCATAATGAATGTAACAATAATGAAATGAAAACAGTATTAGAGACAAATGGATTTAGATAGATGCTAACTTCAGGGAAAATAACATGACATTTTTATTAAAGGCAATAAAATTTGGAACAAACTAGAAGAATCCCTCAGAGACTAGTTTGGGGCATTTGTTTTAAATTATCATTAAATTTGGGGAGGAAATAAGGAATTAGCTGATTGCATTTGCTACCATAGTATGCTAATGTTTTTAATTCAGCTTAAATCTATGTTAAATGTAATGTTCTCCTAAACTGAAATAGCAGATATTAATGAAATTGTATACAGTAGTAAAAATATGTCATATATTTGTGACCTACAAATATGAAGTTAATTGGGAGCCAGTTGCTGATTGAGAGTTGCCCCAAGCTTGATATAGGTTGGATGACTATATAAATTTTAATAAATAAGATAGATTTAAGATTCTTGAATTAGATAAGCAGTTGTGAATAGGCCAAAATAGTTAACTTTATCTCCCTAACCTGGAATACTCATTTTCTTTATTGGGCACGTGTAGCACAGCGCACCTCATCAGCTATCATAAAATTTTATCATTCAAAACGACCTTACTATATCCCGGCAGCTTGTAAGGTTTTTCAAGCTAAGGCAGTCCCTCAGCTCCTTTACGGCTCGCAAATATGTTCATTTGCAAACCTTAATGCTATTGAAATTATTCAAAATAAGTTTATTAGAGCCATACTGATGGTACCTAAAAGCTTCAAAAATGCCATCCTACGGGTAGAAATAGGTATAGTTTCATTGGAAGCTAAAGGATGGTTCCTTCTTCTTACCTTTTGGCTAAAGTTAAATTTGATGCCTGTAGGTTTAGCCCCATTAGTATTTATAGACCATTTTAAATTGTCGTAGGAAAAAAAAGCCCTAGATAAAATTAAATCGCTGGGCTTCTCTATGGAAAGTCTATGTTCATTAGGATTTGATAATGCTAGAACTGCCTTGAAACAACGAATCTGGGATATTGATCTCCAAACAAACCTAAGTAAGGTGGCACATTCCAACATTTGTCACTTGCTTCCAGAAGGATTCTTCCCAGCTTCTTATCTATTTTCCATTACAATCTCGAAATGTCGTAAAGCTTTCACCTTAGCCAGGCTGGATGCATTGCCCTCGGCAGTCTTTTTTGGACTGTTTAAGGGCATTCCTATGCACCTTTGGTTGTGTCCATGTGGTGATGGCTCTATAGAAACTAAGCCATATGTTGCTTCATTGCTCTGTATATAAAGACTCTAGACCAGTGATGGGCAACCTTTTCGGCGTGGTGTGTCAAAATTCGGCAAAAAATCGAGCATAACTCGCGTGGTGTGTCACTTCAACAAAAAAACATAATTTTGCGCAATTTATAGTTTAAACTACAAAAATGTATAATTGCAATATATAATTATTATAATTATTATAATTAACAAATTATTTAACATACCTGCTTAGTAACTTCTTTGTTCATCAATCTGTCGATTTCGTATGTTGCCCTTGATATTATTGAACTTGTTTGGGGTGCCATGAACTGAGATAAGTGAGGGGGAGGGCGAATTCTTTAACTAACCTGCATATTAGTGACTTTTTTGTTGCTGAATTTCATTGGCTAAATCTTCAATTGAAGGTTGGTATTTTGTACACTTAAGGCCCAAGCAAGCGCTACTAACCTCATCTGTCAATCTGTTTCTTTTGTTGGTTTTGATATTATTTAATGCTGAGAATAAGGTCTCACAAAAGTACGTAGAAGGAAAAATTGTGAGTAAAGCTGTTGCTATATTTTTCAGGGTGCTAAAAGTGTCTGGTAGTCTGTTCCAGGCACTCCAAATTTCCTGTTCGTAGTGGCACTCATCTTGATTCTCCAAGCGGCCCCTTTCCAGATTCTCAAGCTTTGACCTCAAGTCGACAAACACCTGAGCCCAGATGCTGTCTTGAAATTCTGCAAGCTGCATCTCCAAATCATCTATTTGCGTCCATTGGAAACCATTTAATTCCAAACTATTGTAGACTACTACATCAGGATACTTAATTATTCTCATGGTCTGTTCTAGGCTTCTAAATTGACTAAATCTATCAGTAAACTGGTCAAGTAACGAGTCTAAAACATGCTGGCACTTCATATGCAAGAGTTCCACTTCATTTCGTACAGCTGCACTGGCCTTCTCAAAATGCTTTTGTACTCGAGGAAAATACCTATACGTTTTAGTTTCTACATCTCGCTTGAAAATTTTTACTTTACTTTCAAAAGCTTTTATGTATCCAAACATAACATCAATACTTTTGCCAAAACCTTGTAACTTTAAGTTCAGTTCATTAACATGAACAGAGAGATATGTAAAAAACATCAGGGTGTTGACCCACTTATCATCATTGAGCTGAGGAAAGTTTCCCAGATCCTTATCTTCAAGAAATACCTTAATTTCTTCAAAGCACTCCACAAAGCGCTCAAGAACCTTGCCTCGGCTCAGCCATCTTACATTATTGTACATCAGCAGTCCACTGTAGGTGGAATCAACCTCCAGTAAAAGTGCTGAAAATTCTCGCTTGTGAAGGGGGCGAGCAGCTATTAAATTAACTATTTTTGTAACAACTGACATTAAGTCATTTAAGTCAGTGAATCCTGCCTTGGCACATAAAGCCTCCTGATGGATAATACAATGAAAAGGCACAATCGGATGTCCAATAGCTTCTGTAAACAATTTCACAAATCCAACTTTTTTCCCCACCATGTTTGGGGCACCATCTGTCGTCACTGACACAACTTTAGAGATATCAATGCTTAGGTCACAGAATGTTTGCATAACAACCTTACATAGTTCGCTTCCTGATGTACTTGTTGGAACTGATACTAACTTTATCAACTCTTCTCTCATTGTGTGACTATCAGAATATCGACCAATAATGGCCAACTGAGCATGTGACATGACATCAGTAGTTTCATCAAGACAGATGGAAAAATATTTACAATTCCTTATGTCTCTCTTTAATTGATGTTGTACGTTTGTGTTCAGTCTCATTATTCGGTCTTTTATGATATTTCTACTGAGTGGTAACTCAGATATTCTCTTAATAATTGCATCTTTATTCTGCATATCGTGAAATAGAAGTGGCGCACATCTTAGGAGAGTTTCTTTAATAAATTCTCCCTCATTAAGTGCTTTTGCATGCTGAGCTATGGAGTGAGCAATGCTCAAACTTGCAGATGTTAAATTTGTACAGCCTTTTATAAATTTAAGGATGGAGTTAGATTGGCTCTTATAAAGGTGTAGCTTCCTGGAAATGTATTCCTTCCTTTCATCCTCACTTTTTTCCAAGAGCTGGGAATGATTAGTTTCAAAATGTCTATTTATATTCCACGTTCTGCTTACTACCGTTTCAGTACATAGAACGCAAAATGATCTGCCATTTTTTTCTATAATACCATACATCTCGCTCCATGTCTCCTGAAAGGGTCGGCCACTGCTACTACCACTCCCTTTACTTAACCTTTGTTTTTTACTTTTTGGGTGCTCCATCAGTGGGCCAGTGACAGCAGATAGAATTATAGATAGCTTGTTAGCCAATTAGGGGTTAACTAGCCTAACACAGCCTCCCCCTCACTTATCTCAGTTATTGTGGGCAATTACAAGTCCATGGCACCCCAGGAGTAGACTCTCTGTGCCTGGAGTTCAGGCCTACAGACAAAAGGAGATTGAAATTTTTATTATTGAAGGGGCTTATTGACATTCATTTTTTTTTAAAGATTTTATTCACTATATTTACTCCCTATGGGGGACTATTACATGTAATCATTCAATTACATACCCTGATCAATGCTGTGCTATAGCAAAGTATTGATCAGTGTAATGTAATTGGTGGCACAATAAGCTTCTTGTTTCTGTGGCATACATTATTATATTTTATATGCTCAAATTTATGTCAGGGAATGCTGGAAGTTGTAGTTAGTTGCTACAACTCCCAGCATGTTGCACTTGACTATATAGTAGTATAGGTTATGGTGCAACATGCTGGGAGTTGTAGTTTTGGCTCAGCTGCACTGCTGCAGAGCCATAGGCTGTATGAGGGCATGCTGAGCATTGTAGTTACTAACTGCACCTCCCAGCATGCTCTTATACAGCCTCTGCAGCAGACCCCAAACCTAAGTCGCATTATTGCTAATAATTTCCCAACTTTCCTCCCCCTTACTGTGTGGCACTAATTGCGGCCTGACTGGAAAAAGTTACCCACAATAACCTGGTGACCTAGTTTATTTCTCTGCGCTTCTTCCTGTACAAATGGTGGCTTAGACTTTGCCTCTGCCCCAAGAGTTACGTGTATCTTTCTTGATTTACCACGTTAAAATTGCCCGAAGGAACAAGAGATTCATCTCTTTGGATTCATCTCCAGAGTTGGTTAAAATATGGGCGTTTTATTATTGAACGTTTCTTATTTAAGCGTTTTAAAAAATATATATTAAAATTTGTATACCTTATCCTTGAACTACTCTAGCTCGTTCCTGAAAGGCTTTTCAATGAGAGTTGACTGTTACATAAAAATCTTTCGCTTAAGACTTTGCTGGGTTGCTTTCTGGTTTCTGCTTTCTGCTTTCTGAAGAACGGATTACTTTGCCGCCTTAGCTGCGCAATTTTTTTCTCTTCCACCAAAAATCTCCTGTTTCCCATAGCAAAAGGAGGGTCATTGGTCTCAGCCAATCACTGATTATGAGCTCACAGATGGACGTGGAGGTTGGCCCAATGGCAACCGCGTAATGAGTTCATTATACTAAATACATGTAAGGCCAGCTTCCCCCTCCAGCCTGAGAAGAGTGAGATGTGATATAAAAGCAGCGGGGCGGCCCCTTCCTCTTCTATTCTGTTACTTACATCGACTCTTAGCTTGTCGGGAGAAGTAACATCTGAGGCTTTTCATTTAATCCCCTTCTCCTGTTTCTTGCCATTCCTTCGTCAGCATCATGGAAAGTGGAGGAGAAAGAGGAGAGGGAGAGATGGGTCAGGAGAGAATAGATGCTGATCCAAGAGAACCTCCAGGGTGGAAGGGTGCTGCACGGGATGGGACGGGTTGCGGAGGAGGAGGAGGTGGCGGCGGCGAAAAGAACGCGGAGGCTGGGCGGAATTCTGGGAAAGCCAGAGAAAAAATCCAGCAGGGCAGGGGAGATGCACTTATTAGCTCCCCTCAGCCACGAGACCTCCAGATGGTGGTAACAGAACTCGCAAAACCTTAAGATAAACGGAGAGAGGGAGGAAAGACCATAGATCGTTAATTCCTAGAAAGGAGTTCTGGTTCGGCTGTCCCGAGTGGAACAGAAAGGCACCCAAGGAAAGAGGCGGTGAGGATTACTCAGGCGGTTCATCCTGCGCATGTCACCCCAAATGGCTACGCGTGTCAGCACTGACACGCGTGTCATAGGTTCGCCATCACTGCTCTAGACAGATTCTTATATATCCAATATTGAAGAAATTTCCAGGCAGGGGATATGAATTTTATCTAAAGTTGCTACTTTCGGATAAGAATCCAAAAATATCAGTTCAGGTTGCCCAATTTTGTGCCACCATTTGCACAATACGTCACACCATTATTAAGGTCTGAAAAAAAAATTTAATATGATGTTTTCTTCTGAGAATTTTGGATTATACTATATTGATTGTTTGGTGGTTTTATATCAACGGTTCTCAGCCTGTGGGTGGGAACCCCATTTGGGGTCGAACGACCATTTCACGGTGGTCGCCAAACAACGCAGTCCGCCATTTTTTCCTCTTTTTCTTAGCTGTGCTACTCCCTTTTATTCTATTGGCTTTTGAAAGCCAATAGAATAGACTCTCTTGAATAGAGTCTAATTCTATTGGCTTTTCAAAGCCAATAGGACTTGTCCAGGCTGTCTCTGCCCTGCTGAGCCCGCCAAAAGTCCCATTCTGCAAACGGTGCTGCAAGTTGTCTGCAGTGAAGGCGAGCTGTCTGGAAGTTTCCACCCCTCCCTGCTGAGCAACTACTAAAAATGTAAGTAAAAGAGGGCCAGGGGTGGGAGGTGGGAGGCTGGCGGGCGCAGGGAGAGTTGCTGGTGCGCGTGTAGCCCAGCGGGTGCCTTACCTCCCTTGGGCTGGGCCAGCTGGTGGCCCAGCCGGTGGTCGGCCTGCGCCGTCTCTGCCACTTGCCAACTACGCCTCGGCTGGTGCAGGGGGCGGCACCACGCATGTGCGGCGCTCCTGGGCAGGGAAAGTCCTCGACTTACGACCGGTTGGGTGGTCCTCGACTTACGACCGGTTGGGGGGGTCACGGCATTAAAAAGGTTGAGAACCACTGTTTTATATCCTGTAAATATGGAAGTAAAATTGTTACTGTTGTTATACATTTTGATTATGTCTGGCCTTATGGCTGTAATAAACAGAATTCTATCACTGATCAACTATATTATAAGAATCTCCCAAGACTGTCTCCATTTCTTTGGAAACCAACATATAAGGTTTTCCAGTCTGGTCTATGATGTTTCCTTC